AAACCAGGGATCTCTACACCCTTTGTTGAACACTTTAGTCACCTTTGACTACACCTTCAAGGCTCACAATTCTTTACACCCTTTGCCACTAAAAATAGCATGTTAGAAACAAGGATTATTCAATATATGAGGAATCACCCATCTCCATAATGGCATAGTATTGTCCACTTTGAGCATAAGCTCTCATGGCTTTGCTTTGAGCTTCCCCAAAAGGCCTCATACCAATGGAGATAATATTCCTCACTTATAAACCCATGATCTTCCACTAAATTAACCAATGTGGGACTCACTCCTAATAATCCTTAATATGGCCTACGATCCATTCGTAAATAAAGAATTGCAAGAATGAACATAAAAATACTTAGTAAACAATACTTCTAGGCTCTCATCGAAACTTCTCATATTTAGTGTTCTTAAGATATGTTCTCAATAAGGTTTCTAGTGTTAGCCAATTCTATAGCTCAAGTTCTTTCCTAGCCCTCTTAGTAGGGTTGTACATGGGTTTGGTCGGGTTGGATTGAGAATTATTTTTGGAAAAACCCAAAAGTTCAATTGGTTGGATTGATAACCTAACCCAATCCGTAATTCTTTCACAACCCAACCCTATATACTTTTGGGTTGGGTTTGGGTTTTGGTTGTTCAAACAAAATTAATTTTTTTAAAAACTCTTATTTATGGGGTATAAACCTGGAACAAGAATGTTGAATGCGATACGAAGAGGAAGAACTCTTGGGTTGTTGTAGTACAAACCTCGAACATGAATATCGAATATGTGGAGGCTACTGGCCCTGATTGCTTGCTGGAAGAACTCGAAGGCTGAAGTCTAATGCGATGCAAGGAGGAAGAAAAACTTGAAGTATGATGCGACGTGAACGACGAATGCGATGGAGATAAGGGTTTTCTTTTATGTCTTCTCTTCTCTTTTGATGCGTGTGGCTTGTGTTAATGGCTTGATGTGACTACGAGGAGTATTGCCAATGACGAGGGAAAATGGTCTCTCGTCTAGTACCAATGCGGGTCTGGAGTTGAGTCTGAATAGAACTAGGCTCGAGTCATTGCGCTTGAAAAGCTTTTGCCTTTCGCTGAGTTGTTGCGTATTGGGCTCTTCTTTTTTTGTTTTTTATAATAAAATCAGGTCAATTTGAGTTGACTCGATTCTTTGCACCTGAACTCGAATCAGACCCTAATCCACATGATTTGCACTAAACACTAGAACCTAATCCACATGAGTTGCACTCGAAACAGACCCAAATTAGGCCAGTTTGAGTTGCACTACTCATTGGTAGATCTTTAGGATATATTAGGTTCTCGTTCTAAGAGTTATTTATTATGTCTTGAAGCATAACTAAGAAAAAAAATGTTAACAAATACACCCTATTCTACTTGAGTCATGAACATTTCTGTGCATGCATAAATCTTTCATAAGAATCTTGTCACTTGGTATTCATAAACAAACCTTGATTTCTTACCTAAGTGTCTTGGGGGTAGCTATGTACTTTTCTTCTTGGTTCATATCCCAAAGTTGTCGTAATCTCCTTAAGATCTTTTATACCTACACTTAATACCGTAAATGAGTCTCATATACATTTTCGTAGTATGTTCAGTCTTTTAAGGTCTTGAAAACATTTTAGAATTCTCATAGGATATTTTGGTCATTTACCACCCCAAATCTTGGTTTAAATTCTCAACACATTCCAACACATTCCAATGGTATTGTAACTTTGTATAATCCCTTTAAACCATGACATAAGTTCCTCATCAAATGTCATGCCATTTAAAAGTCACTTGGTCATAAGTCAGTGGTACATAATTATAGGGGCATTTTACTCATTTTACACTTACCTTGGTTTAAGCCTCTCATCATAATGTAATGATCACCAAATTTCGTACATAACCGTATAATGTCATATTGAGCCTTCTCATAAAATTTCATGAGCAACATAATTTATTTAGTAAGTTTGTGGCTCAAGTGTTTCATTGAAATCAATATTCATGTGTACACTAAGGTTAGAAAACCTTAAATACTTAACTCAACCTTAATTTTAACTTTCTCACTTACTTCAAGATGATTGTTTTCTTCCATCAACTAGATTAATAGTTTTACCAGCATCATGCATTACATTGTCCTTCGAGTCAAATTTTCTAAACTTTGCTAAAGGTTTCATAATTGACCTCTTTGCCCATAAATCTAAACACCATCAATACATCAATTAACATTCATATTTCATACAAGGTAAATCACATTATATTCTATATTATAATGAACATAGAACTATCTCAACAATAATGTAGTCAACTATAATACATCAATGGTGTCAAAATTCAATCATGAGTTACATTTAATGATGGTCAAGCATTAGCAACATATATGATCGAAGGCATTTACCCTAATCATTTTCTTATTTTACACGTGATATACTTGATGGTGATGGGGCATCAGACGTGGAAATATGGAACATGTCAAACCTATCACATAGGCTAGTTACAAAATCTATAACCTAGAGTTCTGATACCAACTACAACGACCTTAGATTTTTACTAACCTAAAGTCGCTACCGCATACATAGTGTAATTATTTTGTGCGGAAATAATTATTTGAAACATATTCACAAAATATTGTCATGGACTTACATGTTTAATAAAAGGTCTTTAAAACAAGACAACCCACAATTAAAATAGACAAAAGTAAAAATAAAACAAAAATACTCTATACTAATTATAGTCTACAAAATTAAATACAACTACCCTATGCATGTGTCATGATCTTTAAAGTTGCGATGCCGATGTCAACCGTGCACGGGTGCCTTGCCGTTACATATACAATAAAAATAGCACATGACTTGAGTATTTACATAAATACTTAATAGATGACTCCACTAGGTTTAGATCCAAACACATGCAATCATGAATGAGATCTATCATTTAAAATCGTATTCCTTTAAGTGACTCCTAGCGGGTTATTGGATGTGTATTTACTATTCTACACACGGCCCATACGTGTAAATATGGACCAACCAGTCGGTTTGCACACCTCCTAGACCCCTTTCCTGGTCGAGTTAGCATTCTCTAGTGCTATTATCGAAGACCCAATAGAAGTAGTAACCGTCGTAGCATTATGATAAATACAATGATCATTTTTTCCTTTTCATAATGTACGCGTTCGTATTTATCGTAAAGAGGATAATTGCTTGATGCATATAACATAGAATGATGCATGAGATCTCAACATTTTTCATTTATGAAACCATATAAAAGAACCACTCCCATTTTCCTTCATATCATTTTTATAACATAGCTTTCAGAACATATATCGACGTTGTATATCATATCAAAATATATTTACCGTGTATCATTCATATCATGCATCGTATGATATATCATGCACATAACATGTCCTTCAACATACCATATGATATCATACACGTACCATATCATAACCATATCACAACATGTAAATATTATATCATAACACGTATCTTATCATCAACATATCATTTCATAAACGTCTCACACATACAAACATATGACACATGCAAAACTACAGGGCATGTGTCATCGTACAGAACACAAACTTCTAACCATACCTATAGTAAGGCCACTTGGTTGGCCTGGGTCGAAGCCACTGCAACCAATTGATGCTAGCTTAAGGCTACTCTGAAATTTAATTCTACCCAAAGAGTTCAACAATTATAAATTAACATTCTAGCATGAGGATTGACTATTAACATTCTAGCCTGAGGATTGACTCACCTAATTTGGCATAGAATAATTTAAACTAGACTCCAAAAGTTTAAACGAGCTAAAAGATAGTCATATTAACCTTACACGCTTTCGAAGAGTTGAAATGAGTAGGAAAGGGTCTGAGTGTATTATCAAACCTAAGCCGGATCAGCGAAAATGCTGACCTGAAGGCGTCAGAAAATATATTCTTCGACTTTAACTGGCTTTAAACCATTCAACTAGAATGATAAAATGAAGTCACGGTCCTCCCTTTTATAGTAGAGGTAAACTCCTCACTTCTCAACTTAAGTGATGTGGGACAATTTTCATTTCTTTTTTTCTTATTCTAATTTTTGGGTTAGTATAGACCTGAACTGAATAATCGGGTCTTAAAAACCCAACCCAACCCAACCCTTATAATTCGTGTTGGGTCAGTTCAGATTCTTGGGTTTAATGTGCACCCCTATCTCTCGGTCTCTTAAGGTCCATATACCCTATTATAAAGGTGCAAGTCACTCATCAGGATGTACTCGAGTTTCTAGGTGCACTTAGCCTCTCATTTCTAACTTGTCGCACTTCCTAAGCATAAGTTAGGGCACCCACATCTATTTTAGGCTCTAAGAATGTCTAATAGGTATGGATGAGTCACCATATGCAATAAGTAAACTCTTAGTCTCCCTATATTCTCGATCGTGCCTACTGCTGAGCACTAGACAAAAGCTCCCCTAATTGCACCTATTAAGCTCCCTATTCACTTATCATTTTAAACTCTTAAATAGTACAAGGTAGACTTCCCGCTAAGCACAATTAAAGCTCCCTCAGTAATACCCTCTAATACGCCACGAGTCCTAAGTGGGTAACATTGCATTCCTATATACTAAGCAGACTCTCATCAGTTTAGCCAAATTCACGGTTAAGGGTTATGCCCTAACCATTACGTAAACCTAATCAATTCTAATTTTGATTTCTTATGAAATGGAAAGAGAAGGCATCTATCTAGGGCAACGTACGAGTGATAGAGCTATTTGTGTCACATTCGCACTTCTAAAGTGCAATGAACATATATTTAAAGCATTTATACTCTCACACTAGCACTCTATTTGTCCCTTCCAAACTATACACTTCGTTTCTACATCACACATTGTCTCTCCATTTATCATTTCTTTAAGAAAAAAGTTGGATCTTTGTTGTTACCAAAAACTACACACATCTCTCAACCGGGCCTATACCCACGTAGTAGGTTGAAGTAATTAATGAGTGAGTAAAGGCATATGGCTTCCTCTCCTCTCTTATCTCTTCCCTCTTATCTCAACCTAAATGCAATCATTCTTCCCCAAAACATGGCCTTCAACTCCAAAGAACTTCACAAAACTCCCCATGAAACCAATTGGGTTGTGCAAATCAACCAACTTCTCGACCCAAATAACCTCCAAACAGCCTTACAAACGCCCACTTCCATCTTTAAGCTGCCTAATTCCATCACCAATAGCATGCCACAAGCTTACTTCCCTCGCCACATTGCGCTTGGGCCTTACCACCACTTCCAAAATGAGCTCTACCAAATGGAATTATACAAGCTCGACAACGCAATCAACGCAATAGAATCATTCAAACTCCCGCAACTCCATCAAATCGCCGCTGATCTCGAGCAATTCGATATCAAAATCCGATCTTGTTATAACAAGTTTCTTGATTTTGGGGCCGAGGCGTTGGCTTGGATTATGCTCATAGATGGGTTGTTTTTGGTTCAAATTCTAGCCATTTCCAACGATGAAAATGATGAGCTTAGAAGAATGCGTCAAGATCTTTATCTCCCTTCTCCATTTCCATTATTTGTTGAACAAAAGTTGTATTGTTCTCTAATTGAGGCAAATTTGATGACCCAAGATGAATTAGTGAATGATATTCTTAAGCTCGAGAATCAAATTCCAAGTTTTGTTCTCAAAAAAATTTTGCCACAAAATTTGAGCAACAATTTGCATATCTTGTTCTTCAGATTTTGTGAGGTTGTTTCCCCCAAGAAGCTCCCTCCTCATGACAGCCCTCAATTCATGCGTTACAGCGGCTACACTGACTTGTACCAAATTCTTGAACAATCTCATCATTTGCTTCACTTTTTGTATCTTTTGATTTTGGATTCAAGTTTGAGTATTGATCGTCCTGTTGGAATGGCACTCTTACGTGGTTCTTTCCTTGTTGAGTTGCTTAATGCTTTGGCCTCTGTTCTTCAAATTGCCTTCTTACAACAGCTGAGTGAAGCTGTGGGTTTGATCCAAAGCTTGCTTGGTTTGTTTCGGAGAGTTGGGTCGTCTTCTTCTTCCATTGGCGAGGACATGAACGGCCCTCCGTTGATTCCGTCGGCCGAGCAGCTTAGACGGGTTGGAGTCAAGTTAGAAGGAAACTATGAGGACTTTCATGAAAGCATCAGGTAACCCATTACTATACATTTCTACTTGCTCAGGGTGGTTAACTCTCATTTAGTTCGTCCCATTAAATTCTCATTTTGATATCTAAATCATTATGGATGGTCGAGAGTATTGAGTCTGATTGTTATTTTTTTTTAGTTATTTTAGTTATTAACTCTCCTTCGATTCATATCATTAAATTTTCATTTTGATACTTGACCCATCTAAGATGGTCGAGAGTATTGAGTTTGATTGAGTTTGATTTCTTAACTCTCATTTAGTTCATATCATTAAATTCTTATTTTGATACCTAAATCACTTAGGATGGTCGAGAGTATTGAGGTTGATTGAGTTTGAGTGTCATTTTTCAGTTATTTATTTTAGTTTTTAACTCTCATTTAGTTCATATCATTAAATTCCCATTTTGATACCTGAACCATTTACAATGGTCGAGAGTATTGAGTTTGATTGAGTTTGAGTATCATTTTTTAGTTATTTATTTTAGTTATTAACTCTCATATAGTTCATATCATTAAATTCTCATTTTGATACCTAAATCACCTAGGATGGTCGAGAGTATTGAGTTTGATTGAGTTTGAGTGTCATTTTTTTAGCTATTTATTTTAGTAATTAACTCTCATTTAGTTCATATCATTAAATTCTCATTTTAATACCTGAATCATCTAAAATTGTCGGGAGTATTGAGGTTGATTGGGTTTGAGTGTCATTTTTTAGTTATTTATTTTAGTTCTTAACTTTCATTTAGTTCATATCATTAAATTCTCATCTGGATACTTGAACCATCTAAGATGGTCGAGAGTATTGAGTTTGATTGAATTTGAATGTCATTTTTTAGTTATTTATTTTTGTTATCAACTCTCATTTAGTTCATATCATTAAATTCTCATTTTGATACCTGAACCATGTAGGATGGTCGAGGGTATTGAGTTTGATTGAGTTTGAGTGTCATTTTTTACTTATTGAGTGACATTTGGGAGAAAATTTGTTTTGAGACTTTGTAGTATGAGAGTGTGAGATATACACGTTGTTAACACTTTGATTATTGAGATTGGTTCCTACTCGTGGATGTAGGAGAATTTCTTCTCTCCAAACCACATAAATCTTTGTGTCTTTGTTTAATTTATGTTTGTGAGTGCATGTGTAAAATCGATGTTACTTCTACTTCCGTTACATCATATACAATTAAGACTAAAGTATTTTGGTGGATTCCTTGACTAGCTTCGAGAAAGAACGAAGAGAAACTTGTTTAAAGTTCCCAACGATCGTCATTAACGCCTTCTCAGAAGTAGTATACAGCAATCTAGTAGCATTCGAAGGAGCAACTAAACTAAACCCGCCATGCTTTAGCAATTATGTAGCGTTGATGAGCGGGTTGATTACAACCATCAAAGATGTCAAGATATTGAAGGAAGCAAGCATTATTGAGAGCCATATTGGAAATGAAGAAGAGGTAGTGAAATTGTTTGATGGATTGAGAAGTGTGTTGGAGCTTAAGAACATGGCTGAGATTCAAATGGTTAAAGATATCAATAGCTATTATGAAAGTTGTTGGAAGGTGAAAGCCAAAAGATTCATTCAGAAATATATCAATCCAATGTTGAAGGTGATAGTTCTTGTTGTTGTGATTTTGCTCATTGGTGTCGTTGTTGTACGCACATTTTGTGGTTGGTTTGGTTGCTTGAGAATTTTGCATGTGGTTTCTGGTGTGTCGAAGGATTGAAAATGGCTACGTTTGAACGTATGAATAGCTCAACTCTCGAAATTTTGTTTGGTTGAAGTTCTTTGCTTGTTATCGCTATAAAGTCTAGTACCGATCGATTGGTTTTGAATACACTATAAGAAATAGTGCGATCTTTTTACATGATTTTTCTTTTTTTTTTTTTTCTTGAACACTTTCATACTATATTTCGTCACTACAAATCTTTCTATGTATACATTTTGTAAGCTGAATAATATTATTGTCTCGCATATGTTTTTTTTTTTTTTAATGTTTGATGGTTCTACCGCTAGAATGGTTGCTAGCACAAAATTAATGAGATCTTTCCATCCAACCATTGGAACCTCACCAAATTTTAATATTTTTGGAGTACACACCAACTCATCAAATCCAACGACGGAAATCAAAGTGATGGTTGGTGAGCCCTGGATTGTAAAAGATATTTCTGATGAAAAATCTAGAGAATTCAATCTCAAATTCACTACGATTGTGGAAGTTTCAATGTCGGTTGAATTTTCTGTTAGATCGCACAACAACGCACACACTTGATCTTGATGAACACAAAGAATTAGAGATAAAAAATGCAAAGAGAAATATTGGTTAAAAGTTTTGTATTGATTAGTTCAAGTATATACATCATTGAAAAAAAAAACATTTTCAAACGGTATATATATGGTTCAGTTTACAATAAATATATATATATATATATATATATATATAACTTTACTATATATAAACCATCTATATAACTATTTACCATACATAGCTTTCTCCGATATAGTTTTTTACTAAATATAGCTATTTACTATTTATAAAAATTTACTCATTTCATAGATATATATACAGCTTCATAACCGTTGAAGCGGTTGAGTAAGCTATAAATAAGCAGCAAGTTTAAACTAAAATCGACAACCATTTGGAAGAAGAATCAAACGCACTCTCAAACTAAAATGAAGTAGGGGTTTTCATTTGGAAGAAGAATCGAACATACTTTCAAACTAGTGTTAGGTTATGGAGTCTGCTGCTTATTTATAGATTAGTCAACGGTTATACGTAGTAAAACTATATTTGGTAAATGACATATAAAGTAAAATGTCATAAATAGTAAATAGCTATTTACGGTACAAAGCTATATCTGGTAAAGTTATATATGATAGATAATTCTATATCTGGTAAAGTTATATATGATAGATAGTTCTAGAGTAGATGGTTATATCTGATAAAGCTATATATAGTAAGCTAAACCATCTTATATCTGATAAAACTATATATATAGTAAGCTAAACCATATATGATTATATCTGGTAAAGCTATATATAGTAAGCTAAATCATATATGGTTATATTTGGTAAAGCTATATATAGTAAGCTAAACCATATATATCCCCTCGGCATAGCTTTGAAAATGTATTTTCTATATTCTCTGTATTCTCTACTGTACATACTTGTAGTCATCAATATAAATTCTTTAGCCAAAGTTCTCTTTGCATTTTCTCTATCCTGTTCTTTGTGTTCATCTAGATCGAGTGTGTGTTGTTGTGTGATCCTAACAATTGGTATCAGAGAAAGGTTGAAGTCACCACGATCTGTGAAGATGGAAAGTTAAAAAATTGGAATTGAGAAGTTCGATGGATTCGATTTCAGTTTCTGAAAAATGCAGATTGAAGATTATCTGTATCAGAAAGGTCTTCACGAACCCTTGTTGGGGGTGATGTCAGAAACCATGACCACGGAGCAGTGGAAGCTCAAGGATCGACAAGCCTTAGGGCTGATCTGGTTGACGCTATCCAGAAACGTGGCGTTCAATATCATCAAGGAGAAGACAACGTCAGATCTATTGAAGGCGCTGTCGAATATGTACGAAAAACCGTCGGCTATGAACAAGGTATATTTGATGCAGAGATTGTTCAATCTACAAATATCTGAAGGTGGATCTGTTGTTGATCATATAAATGAATTCAATATGATCGTAAGTCAACTGAGTTCGGTGGAAATTAATTTCGAGGATGAAATTAAAGCATTGATTTTGATGTCATCTTTACCCGAGTCGTGAGATACTGTTGTTGCCGCAATCAGCAGTTCGTGAGGATCTGATAAACTGAAGTTTGATGAAATTCGAGATGTAGTTCTTAGCGAAAGTATTTGCAAACGAGAAATTGGAAATTCATCTGGTAGTGCTCTCAGTGTTGACCAACGGGGAAGAAGTAAACTAAAGGGCACAAACAAAGGGCGATCAAAATCAAAGAACTGAGAAAATCTCCAAATAGACCAAACGTAATGTGTTGGAATTGTGGAGAAAAAAGTCACTTTCAAACAGGTTGTACAAGACCAAAGAAGAAGCAGAATCACAAATCTAGAGATGATGATGATTCTATTGTTGGCTTTTTGGCCCTTGATCTCACTTTAATTAATTTCAATCAATTAATTGATTGATGTTTTGATAATAACAAACCTACTTTTAATTATTAACTATTTTCAGTATTTTGAACTGTCCATAGTATAAGGTCGGGAATAACGATTACAACGACTTTTCAATTACTCAAATCAGAGCCAAAACGAAGAAATTAGAGTCCACACAACATACCCGACGTAATGATGTGACAGCAAAATCAAAATGATGGACAAATCAAAATATATCAAAGTATGACATTTATAATGTTGGAAGAGTAACAAATGATGGAGTTTTTCTTATTATTATATTTCTAAATAAAATTATTTTTACAAAATATAAATTTGAATCTAACCATTACTCACATCGATTTTTATTATTACTCTATTATATTATTATATTATTATATTTTAAAATTTTGGTAGTTACTCACATAATTTTATTATTATTATATTATTATATTTATAATAAATTTTGAATTTTCATTTGACCGTTACTCATATAGCTTTTTATTATTATTATATTAAAAATTTTAAATAAATGAATTGGGAAAATTTTCTTATTTATTTACTTTTAATCTCCATCTTCCATTATTCTTAACACAATCCAATGGTAAATATTAATTCCTACATTTTGCCATTTTTCTCTTCTATATAAACTCATCTTCCCCCACATTTTAAAATACACAACTTATATATATTCTCCAATCCTCATTTGTTCAAAGTCTTCATTGTTTGTTGCTCTCTCCAAGCTTACAAGTTTATTTCTCTTCATCTTATTCTTGAGAGGGATTATTATTGTATTGTGAGAAAATAGTTGTGAGAATCCCAAATGGTAAATCTACTCTTTGAGAGAGTTGTGGTGTGTTATTATCAAACTCAAATACTTGTACCGGTTTGATCCTGCACCGTGGAAAGGATCGAGTTTGCTCTTGAACTCGTAAAAAGAGCGATGTAGCGGTTTGGCTCTGATCCGTGGAAAGAGTCGAGAAAGTTCTTTATTCAAATTCCCAAGAGGCGCTTGGGGAGTGGAGTAGGTCGAGTTTGACCGAACCACTATAAAACTACGGTAACATTTTCTCTAACTCTTTCCTATTTAATTTCAAAATTATTATTGTGAGTTATTGCATGTTCTACTTGATTATTGTTTTGACTTTAATTATTTTGTTCTAGTAATTATCATCTTCTACTTATTTGTAAAAAGTTTTATCATTAGAAAAATTAATCACGTTTAAACACTTTTATCGTTAAAACCCTATTCACCCCCCCCCCTCTAGGGTTGCCATACCGATCCAACATCTATAAATTCAGCAGAAGACATTGGGGATGCTCTAATCCTTAGCGTGGACAGTTTGATTGAATCCTAGATTTTGGATTCAGGTGCATCTTTTCATTCGTCTCCAAATAAAGAGTTGTTTCGAAATTTCAAGTGTAGAAATTTCGAGAAGGTGTATCTTGCCGACAACAAAGATTTGGAGATTAAAGTTCGTGAAAGATTATGAAGGGTGCTACGGTGGTAGTACGTGGCTCAAAATCTGGAACCTTACACACCACTGCAGGGTGCATGAACATAGCTACTGTTGCTGAGAATGCTTCAAATTCAAGTTTATGGCACAATAGACTTGGACATATGAGCATGAAAGGAATGAAGACGTTGGCCGCGAAAGAAGTTTTAGAAGGTTTGAAATCTGTTGATGTGGGTCGTTGTGATAACTACGTTATGAGCAAGCAAAAATGAGTTAGCATCACAAGGACCGCTAGAGAATTGAAGAAAGTGCGGTTGGAAATGGAACCAGATGTGGAGCAAGGTTCCAAGACAACGAAGCAAGTGGGAGTTGAGCTTGAGTTGCAGGGAAACTCACCTAGTGAAGTTGTAGCAGATACTCATGAAACTCCTGAGACTACTACTGAGGAACCAAATGTGGAGCAAGGTTCCAAGACCACGAAGCAAGTGGGAGTTGAGCTTGAGTTGCAAGAAAATTCACCTAGTGATGTTGTAGCAGATGCTCATGCTCATGAACCGGTGTTGAGAAGATCATCCAGTACTATCAGAGTACCAGATATGTATGTACCTTCATTACACTATCTGTTGTTGATGAAAGGGAACCACAACCCTTTGAGGAGGCCCTACAGTTGGAGGATACAACCAAGTGGGAGCAAGCCATGGATGGTAGGACGTTTAGGCTTCAAAATGCGTTGTACTGAGGTTGAGTACGTGGCAATAGCTGAAGCTGAAAAGAAGACGATATGGATGACTGACTATCTGGAAGAATTGGGCAAGAAGCAGCACGAAAAGATAAAACATGGAAGGCGATACCATTTCACTTGTAGGTTAGAGGAAGATGGTGATGTGTTTTGAGAAGATAAAGGGTGCAAAGAATGCAGCAAACATGTTGACAAAATGTGTTGATGTTGGAATATTGAGGTTGTGTAAAACCTCAATGGTATGGTGCAGTAAAGATATTCATGATCGTTTGAGAATGAAATTCTTGGTTGACTGTATCAGTTTCCAAGTGGGAGAATTGTTAGGTTATAGAGTCTGCTGCTTATTTATAGCTTAGTTAACGGTTATACATTGTAAAGCTATATTTGGTAAATGATATATAAAGTAAAATGTCATAAATAGTAAATACCTATTTACAGTAATTACTATGGGGTAAAGTTATATAGGGTAGATAGTTTATACAGTAAATGGTTATACCTGGTAAAGCTGTACTAAAGATGTATATAGTAAGCTAAACCATATATATATCCCCTCAGGCATAGTTTGAAAATGCACTTTCTATATTCTCTGTATTCTCTTTTACCGTAGAGACTTGTAGTCATCAATATAAATTCTTTAGCCAAAGTTTTTCTTGCATTTTCTTTATCATGTTTTTTGTGTTCATCTAGATCGAGTGTGTGCATTGTTGTGTGATCCTAACAACTAGAGTTATAAGCGTTTAATTTTTTAGTTTCTGTTTCCTAGATTCAAGAGGTATAGTTCATAACCATTGAAGAAGGTTGAAGGAAGCTTTAAAAATTCAATCTGAGGCTATACGCAAATTTGTCGTGTGAGACCTGTCTCATTCGATTTCTACACCTCCAAGTAACATTTTCATAAAAGACATTGAAGCCCAACAAGTCCACGAGCGTGACCAATTGAAGGAATTCATTTTTGGGTAGAATTTTGGGGTAAAATTTGAACCTAGCTTCCAGTCCCTCTCATTCAAAATTGGATATTCCATTAGCTCGTTTTTTTATGAAGGATTATGAATTGAGCTACATTTTGGGTAAATTGCAGATTGAGGAGAAAACTTCAAAAACTGGCCATGATTTCACAAACTTATCCCTCCAAAATAAATTCTCGAGCACGAGAGAGATACAAGAGAGAATTTTTGTGAAGAAGTCGTGGCCTAAAAAGGTCTCAATCGTCCTACCCAATAATAGCTTCCTCTAGGTTTACTCCGACGAAGATAACAGCTTTCAACCAACTTTAGGAGATGATAACTTGCTCCATAGTCTACCAAAAGGTAAGAACTCCGTTTCTACTTCTTCCTTGCAACGTGGTCTTTAAGTACATTCGATACTATCCTACGGGCAAAGTTCAAATAAGTATTCTAGTGAGCTACCTATTTCAATTAGGGTTTGATTCTTCCGAAATTAGTATTTTTCGTCATCCATATTTCACAAAATCTTTTGAATCGATTTAAAAATGGCATGACATTCAAAAAAAAAATTTATTGGGAAAACTATGGCATGGATAGTAATATTACAAAAGAAAAGAGTGACAAACTTGATAATGATGATACTAATCATCATTGCCGACAATGCAATTAGCAATGCACATGCATTGTCATTATTTGCATAAAAACAACGTTAAAGTCTGCTAAAAGTAGTAAAACAGCAACCTCAACCTCACACGAGTAAGTAGCTACATAGATGTCCTCATGTCTTTACATTAAAACATATAACATATGCTTTTCTAGCAGCTAACTTAAGTGCAAAGCTGAAATAACTCATCCTGTATAGTTAGTGGATATTGACAGTTAGTAATATTCACAGCTTCAATGTTAGTTGTGTTGCAAATGTTTTCCTCCATCTGCAAATAACACCAAAGTTCATACGTTACCGCTTTTATGAAAATAACAATTTAGTTATCGATGTTCGAGTTAATTACCTTATCGTGAAGATACTTGTTGGCAGCTTTCAGTATGAGTTCCTTCAAACATAAATAAAATTTTATTAGTGGATTGTCCGAAAAAGAATATTTTTCGAAACTATATGTTTTCGTAAACATTTTCTTAATAAAAATTTGTTCCATTAGTTAATAATCACGGATCCTAGTCACTGATCGTCTAACCTTAGTCTCTAGTCTTGAACATTGGTTAGTGTTGTAACAACTTAAGCTCACCGCTAACAGATATTGTCCTAAAATGTATATGTTAGGGAGAGGTTTCCGCACTCTTATATTCTCCTCCCCAACTGATGTGGTCATAAGTCTCCCGTTCCTATTTTTAGATAGGGGTGGTTGAAGGTGGTTGGTGGGTGGACCACTCTAGTGATAGTGTTTGTTTGAGTGCGGGTGAATAGTGACTAGTGACTAGTGACCGAAACCAACAACTGGTCACTAGTTAATAGACCCTTGGTGGTGGTTATTGATGTTAGGAACTACGAATCTCCACAATGGTATGATATTTTTCACTTTAAGCATAAACTCTCGTAACTTTGTTTTTTGTATCTCCAAAAGACCTCGTACTAATTGAGATGTATTCCTTACTTATAAACCCATGATCAACTCCTTAATTAGCCAATGGTGGGACTCCTATCCCAACAATCCTCAACAATCCTCCCCTCGAACAAAGTACACCATAGAGCCTTCCCTGAGGCCTATGGATCCCTTGAACATCCTCCCCTTAATCGAGTCTCGACTCCTCCTCTGAAGCTCTCGAAAAAAATACACCATTTGTCCAACACTTGAGTCACTTTTGACTACATCTTCGAGGCTCACAACTTTTTTGTTCGAATTTGAGGATTCTATTGACATGGCTAAGTTAAGGGCATGACTCTGATACCGTGTTAGGAACCACGAACCTCCACAATGGTATGATATTGTCCATTTTGAGCATAAGCTCTCATAGTTTTGCTTTTGGTTTCTCCAAAAGGTCTCATGCTAATAGAGATATATTTCTTACTTATAAACACATGATAAACCCCTTAATTAGCCAATGTGAGATTTCTCTCCTTACAATCCTCACGAATCCTCCCCTTGAACAAAGTAAACCATAGAGCCTTCCTGAAGTTTATGGAGCCTTTGAACAACCTCCCCTTAATCTAGACTCGATCCCTCAAACAAAATACACCATTTGTTCGACACTTTAGTCACTTTTGACTAAATCTTCGAGGCTCACAGCTATTTTGTTCAAAATTTGAGGATTCTAATTGACATGACTAAGTTAAGGGCATGACTCTAATACCATATTAGGAACCACAAAGCTTCACAATGATATGATATTGTCTACTTTGACCATAAACTCTCGTGGCTTTGCTTTGAGCTTCCCCAAAAGGCCTCATACCAATGGAAATGTATTCCCTACTTATAAACTCATGATCAATCCCTTAATTAGCCGATGTGGAACTCCTCTCCCAATAATCCTCAACTGTTGATTGCCTATCCCTGGTCTCGATTTCAGTCATTGGCTACTAGTCACCAAAGTGGTCATTGGTTATTAGACCCCTGGCCCGATCACTAGCCACTGTCCTCTAGCCACGGTCCTCGATCACTAACTACTAGTCTCATCAGTTGCCTATCATAAATTTCCAATCCCGAGCCCTTAGTCGTTAGTCTCCAGTAGTCGGCGGTGGTTAACAGTCATCGTCGGTGAACATTCATGGTCGACGATGGCCATTAATGTTCATTTTCTTCTCAAACCCATTTTTTATTTCCCAATTTGATTCCTAATCAACTAAATAACATAAATTAAGCCAAAAAAAAAAAAGAAAAAAAAAATCGAACCTGGTTCCTCAGTGCATCAATCTCTTCACACATGAACTTCATCTGCATCACAAAGGTCAATTAATTTCAATGCCTATAAGAACACATCAAAGTGACCAAAAGGTAGATACTTTTTGGTTTGTTTTGAAAGCATACCTTTGTAGAACGCACTTGACAAATCCAAATCTCAAGTTGCTTCTCAAGCATATCAAGCTCATCCAATGTCCTTATTCCTTCCACTCCTCCTCCTCCTAAAGCATTCCTACATATATATATAGATATACAAATTCAATCGTCACCATCGATGTACACAACTTAAGAACTACCAGGACATATAAACATGACATAGACACAAACATGCTAACATGTTTTTTCTTAAAACCTAGGATCTGCATGGAAACATTAATCAAACTATGATGGATATGTTTTGTCTTATCAATGTGAGTGAAGATTAAGTAGTTATGATATCATAACATCGATCAAAAGATCTATTAATTGAATTATTCGAATAAGAAATCTTTATACCTGAGACCCTTTAGGACTTCAATTTCTTGTTTCAGCCTGTTGACCTCCTCCTTCACTTCCTAGATAGCCATGCATTTATGTAAATAGCTTTAATCAAAGACATAATAATATTAACTATGATATAATAGTATCATATATGAAAGCAACATTAACAGATTCGAGTCAAGTCATATTTTGGTTATATAGGACACAAATACAGGAAAAAGGGTCGAGCAATTTTGAAATTGTACGTGAACTATGTGTTTAGAACACAATTACTCTCGAGGCTAATTCAGTTTCCTCTTTCTAAGATGAAAACTTCTGTTTTCTAAAATATCTATATCTAAATCTTTATCTTTAAATATTATATATAAAAGTGGGGTAGGGTGGGACAGGAATTGGAGCGAAGTTAGGGTGGAGAATATAATCCCGTCCCTCGTTCCATTTACTAATGGAGAAAAACCTCTCTTTCACTCTTTCATCCATTCTCCATTTAAACTAAAGTTAGACATCTCTACTCACCTCTCTCAACCTCTCTCTTATTGTCAGACTCCCACTCTTGCTTAGGTTTCTCTCTCGGTTGACTCTTTCACTCAATACTCTCGATCTGTTCCAGCCCAACCCTCCTCTAATGTCAGGTTGTCGTGCATAGCGTTGCTCTCCTCATGTTTTCGCTAAATGCAGTTCGTCTCTCTCTTGATTAGTCCTCGATCTCTCTCACACAACATTCTCTCTTGTGCACGTTCACCTTTGGTTGCCACACATGGCTCATCATCGGGTTCCAAGGCCTCTCTTTTCGTATTGCTTGGTTGAATTTGGAAAGAGTTTTCGATTAGAAGCTACTTGAACACCTTAGAGCTAGGTTGGGTGTTTTCTATTTAAAATGTTTATATGATTAAAATGAAATATCTTCTATTTTGTATCATACATGACTTAACACTCTAACCCTAGCAACGATAATGGAGACCTAATTAACCAAGTCACTTATTAAATAATCAAGGATCCCTTTTGATAACTTTATCTAAAAGAAAGAAAAAGTTTCAGCTTTTTATTTATAATTTCTTTGGTTTGGTGCTTTTTAGCACACTTCTCCATTCATAAAATAAAATTATGTATCTAAAAGTTCTTTGTTTCGTCTCAAATTTTGGTCACGATTATTAAATCATAAATCGAGATGTCGATTTTACCTATAGGGACCTGTCCTTAACCTGTCTTGCAAAAGACTTGTCCGAACAAGAAAGAGATTCCTCATTTAAACGGATAATGGGGAAGGAGTGGAAAACATTCTTCCCATAAATTGAGCCGAAATTATATTTTCTATCTTCATCTTTTTCCATAGTGAGAGAGAAAAAAATCAGAATTGTTTAGTTGTTTAGTTAATTTTAATACTCTAATGATAATATTTAAATCAAAGACTATATTTGTAGATTTTTTTTAATTATTAAAAATTTTGTTGTAATATAAAATTTAAATTTTTAGAAATTATGTTAATAGATTTATTATTTTATTATTATTTTTACAAATGAAAAATGGAAACTTTTAAAAAGAAAAACCAAGCTTTTGTCACATCAAATTAAAATAAGTAAAAAAATAATAATAAAAAAAATTAAGAGAGAGAGAGAGAGTACCAGGGTTTGGTTGTCTATTGGTGGCTCTGGTGGCTGACTCCCATTGGTGTGGTTCATGTACCTTTCAATAAGCCCTTGCATGGTTCTGTCCTCCCACATTTAAATAAGGGAGATCAAACCAATATTTAAAACTAGAAGTGTTTATATGATTTGTAACTCCATCAATCTGGATCGTTTAAAGTTGGGTTGTGTTAGATTTTTCCGTCTAAATTGAATTGAATAATGAGACAATAGAAAACATTCGGGTCGGTGATCCGAGTTAACATTTTTTCCATTACGACCAATCAAACCAACGTGAAAAATAAGATTACAATTGTACTCTATCATATCCTATTTTTAAGGTTGTTATGAAAATTAAGAATATTTGAAGTTTATATGGATGTTAGTGATGCTTTGTGACTTATAAATATTTAATATTTGAAATTTATGAAATTTTAGTCATTAATGTAAAATAACTTGCAACCCAATCTAACCCACGTGCGTTGAGTTAGGTTTTGAGCTATATTCGAGTTGTTCGGGACACCAACCCAACTAACGGGTTGGTTGAAAAGATTCTCTCAACCCAACCTATATTCACTCTTACTCAAAAGATAGAGGTTTACTCGGTCCAAGTATTATGCTCTTGGCGAAAAGGTTAAAAATTCGAAACCTATCCTAATATGAGTTGAATTAAACAAAAAAAACAAAATATAGAAAGTATGAGATCCTACATCGATTGGAGAGGAGAATGAGTATTCTTTACAAGGGTACGAAAATCTCTCCCTAGCAGACGCGTTTAAAAAACCTTAAGGGAAAACCCGAAAGGGAAAATCCAAATAGGACAATACCTGCTAGCAGTGGGCTTGGACTGTTACAAATAGTATCAGAGTCAGACAGGGGACGATGTGCCAGTGAGGAGGCTAAGCCTCGAAGGGGGATAGACACGAGGCAGTGTGCCAACAAGGACACTGGATCCTGAAGTGGGGAAGATTTAGGGGTCCCACATAGATTAAAGAAGGAAACGAGTGTAATCGAGAACGTTGGACCTCAAAAAGGGGTGGATTGTGAGATCCCACATCGGTTGGGGAGAAGAATGAGCATTCTTTATAAGGGTGTGGAAACCTCTCCCTAGTAGACGTGTTTTAAAAACCTTAAGGGAAAACCCGAAAGGAAAAATTTAAATAAGACAATATATGCTAGCACTGAGCTTGGATTGTTACAAATAGTATTAGATCTAAACACTGGGCGATGTGCCAGTGAGGAGGCTGAGCGCTAAAGAGGAACTGACACGAGACGGTGTGCCAACAAGGACTCTAGGCCCCGAAAGGAGGTGAATTGGAGGGGTCTCACATCAATTGGAGAAGGGAACGAGTGCCAGCGAGGACGCTGTACCCCGAAGGAAGGTGGATTGCAAAATCTCACATCAGTTGAAGAGGAAAACACATTCTTTGTAACTGTCTAGAAACATCTCTATAATAGACGCGTTTTAAAAACCTTGAGCGAAAACTCGAGAAACCCAAAAAAGTACTATATCTGCTAGGAGTGGATTTAGGCCATAGAATGGATCAAAACATTGTACTCTCGACCAAACCTAACTTTTAAACCCATTTTGAACTAAGAAAAAGAAGAAGAACAAGATAATAAGAAAAAGCAATACCCTTTAGTGGCGAGTTCATAGAGCTTTCCATGAGCGGAGAAAATGAAGACTCCAATTTCAGCATCGCACAACACAGACAGCTCCTTAGCCTTCTTAAGGAGCCCAGCTCGGCGCTTGCAGAACGTCACTTGCCTGTGCACAGGGTTCTCAATCCTCTTCAATTGAACCTTCCCACGAGCCATTTCAACCAATTTCTTGAACTCTGCAGCAGCTGCTCTGCACCCAACCTTCCACTAGTTTGAACTAGCTTCCGGTCGCTGCAATATCTCTACTTCTCTTAACCTCTCAAACTCACAAGCCCTTAAACCACTCTAATGGGATTCAAAACCCTTTATATAACTTCTTTCATTGCTTTTAATGCCTCAAAGAATATAATTTGGTCGGTAATTTAATTTACTAAGTTTACCTTTATCCATCACTATGGTTTCTTTTTCTTTTATTTTATTATAACTCTCATCTTTGAATCTCTAAAGTCACCAACTTTCTTTTCCATTGTTTTTTCTTTTCTCTCTCTCTCTCTCTCTCTCTCCCCCACTATAAGCCCAATGAGTGAAATTCCTTTTTTTATTTATTGACCAATCCCATCTTCCCAACATTTGATTCTCCCATTGTTCATTGTTATTGTCTTGGAAAAGCCTACTTTTTCAAATTAAGAGTGTTGCATCACAAATAAGAACTAGATTACAAAACAAAATAGAGACTTAACCTAGGATTACCCTACTTAGTTTAGGTTTTGTCGACAATAGTGTTGGATATGGCCCACGATTGAAATATTTGGTATCAGAGTTAGGATGTCGAAATAAATGTTGTCACCACAGAAAGTCGTTGGAAGAGAGGGGAGTGTAACGCTATAGTACCTGTTACTCACGAGAAATAACTATGTATCATGGTTGGTAAAGATGTGGTCAACTTACACATAAGGCGTGTGGGATGCCATCGAGCATGGTGATGTTGAGGAGCGTAAGGATAGGATGACTTTCGCCATTATCTACCAAGTAGTCTTGTAGGACGTTATTCTCATGTTGGTAGAGGACTTGGCAAAGGCAGCGTGGAGACCATTTCACTTGGAGGTTAGTGGAAGATGGTGATGTGTTATGGAGGTTAGTGGAAGATGGTAATATGTTTGGAGAAGACAGAGGGTGCAAAGAATCCTTGTTGAAAAAATGTGTTGATGATGAAACATTGAGAAGGTCGTGAGAAGACGCAGTGCAATATTGAAAATTAAATTATTGGTTGACTAGGGTAGATATTTAGTAAAGATTTGGTAGAGATAATTTGATAGATTACACTGAGTAGTGGTTAAATCTGTTAAACTATATTTAGTAAACGGAAATCATATACACCGTCAATGCTTTCGGAATGTACTTTATTCCTTTTCTCTATCCTGTGTTGGTGTACATGCTATCAATAAAACTTTTTGGCCAATATTACTCTTGAATTTTCTATCTCATTTCTTTGTGTTCTATGAGTTGGTCAAGGGATCCTAACATTTATTACCTATAAATATCACATTTATTACTTCTAAAAATCAATTTTGTTAAGAATGAGATAGAAAATATAACTGGGAAGATGTATATTATCATTGATATTGATATTCTTCAAATAGGATACAAGCCAGTACAAATGAGGAAAATATAAAATAATTAAATACTAGAATAAAATAAAATATACTATAAATCTAATCATAAATGGAAGAATATTAAGATATAATATCTAAGATATATTCCATAAATAATATATCTCAACACTCCCCCTCAAGTTGGAGAGTGTATGTTAATCACGTCCAACTTGTCTTTAACTTGTCTTTACGGTAGGTCAATAACACCCAAGTTGTCTTTCACTCTTGTCTTCCCAGTAATGAAAATATCTGTCAAAAAATAGACCGCCTTTGATTGGTTTGCATTTTTAGACTTTCAAGAAATTATTGAATTTTCAAGAAAGATGCAAGACTCAGAAATAGACCGCAATGATTGACTCGAGGATTGGTAACTTGTCCCATTTAATTTGATTTGGAACAAGTGAATATCCTCCCTGATCACTTTTCGGTCCATGCATAAATGCTTTAGAAATAGACCGCAATGATTGACTCGAGGATTGATAACTTGTCCATTTAATTTGATTTGGAACAAGTGAATATCCTCCCTGATCACTCGTTGGTCCATGCATAAATGCTTTAGTGGATAATGACACCAAGATCGATGCTTTGGATCACTTGAGAGGCTGTGAAAGAAAATACGAACATCTTGAATATGTCACCTTAGAGCTTGGTGAGAAATTTGAAGATGCTTATAACGTATTCTTGATATTGGATGATTGACGATGGTAAAGACTTCACTGATTGGTTAGGGTTTGGCTTTAGGTTTAATACTCCCCTTGGACTCAGAGTCCAAGGGGGTATTAGGAATACCACGATCGGTGCTTTGATATTAGGAATATCAAGATCGGTGCTCTGATACCATGTTAAGAATGAGATAGAAAATATAACTGTGAATGTGTGTATTATCATTGATATTGATATCCTTTAAATAGGATACAAGCCAGTAGAAATGAGGAAAATATAAAATAATTAAATACTAGAATAAAATAAAATATACTATAAATCTAATCAAGAATATTAAAATATAATATCTAAGATATATTCCATAAATAATATATCTCAACAAATTTTTATTAAAATCACGGAGGACGATTACAAATTAATTCAAGTATAAAATGATTGAACCCAATTATTGAACTTTCGGGTGTTAGCTTATAAATTTTCTCTTTGATAGGCTAAATCTTTCTTTTTGTGGTTGATACCAATGCTATAATTTCATAATTGTGGGCTTTGTAGTGTTGAAATTAACCTTCATCTACCACTCTCGATGTCCATAAAAGCGTATAGAATATTACTGTTTACCAAGCCTACTTGGTCATTTTCATTGAACTTTCAGGGGTTAGCTTATAAAATTTCTCTTTGATAGGCCTAAATCTTTCTTTTCGTTGTTGATACCAATGCTATAATTTCATAATTATGGGCTTCGTAGTGTTGAAATTAACCTTCATCTACCACTCTCTCGATGTCCTATATGTAGGTATATCCATTTCACCTCCGGTCATGACACATTGTTTTTCTATGTTTCGAGACATCTGATTGAAACATCTAACCTTTCTTAACAAAATCATTTTCATGTGTATACACTAGTGTTCAGTAGCATACTAACCTCCTTTCATGAGAATATAGATCCAAACTTGTCACCTAATGGCCCCGACATTCTTATACAAAATAGTCACGTTAGTTATTCTTTGCTTGTAAGAGTGAAGAATATCCCGACAGACCAACGCAAGTTTTTCTAACATACTTTGTCCTCATTCACATGAGTCCTATAAAAATTTCAAGGACGTAACCCAACATAGAATTGCTACCAAACATAGAATTGCTCCCAGCAAATCACGCTTAACAATGAAGTTCCTATGATTAATTTATCGAAAAGGAAGTTGCACTTTGTTGGTATTGTTAGTAAATTTCAATTCTTTTAATCATTTCTTAGCCATCAATAATCAAGATTGCTCTCCTTTGGACGTGGTCTCAATTCATTCATGTACCCCTCCTTTACTTTGGTGTCATAAAAACCTCTTTTACTTCCTTTTATGAGTTAAACCTTTACTATCCTCGTTATGTCAATACAAGGGTGTATGACCGTTCGCCAAAGTCATATATGCACCTACTACAGCTAAAATGCCCCAAAATCTACTATTGGGAGATACGACTACCAATTCTTCATACCTAGGTTATACTCTATCAAAGTCGAGGTTGTTGCTTTTTCACTTTTACCATATAACATAACTTCTTTTCCAATTATTTTAAACTTATTTCCTCGTTCACGTTTTATAAAATACTTTCTCTCAAACGTGACTCAATGTTCAATCACATGTCAAGCTTGTCTGCAAAGTTAGATTTTCACACAACTGACTTATTCGCTTGATTAGAGAAAGTGCTAAACTATTATTTTCCTGCTGCCACAAGAGTGTAATTGTGACAACATACACCCATGGGTGGAAAACTTGGAAGACCTCGAACTGCATGTGGTGCTACGTGAGGGCACGTTAGGTTTTTTTGCCCCTTTCAATTTTTATTCGTCTATTTTTTGCCTCGATTTCAATACTGACCTTAGTTTTACTTGAATTAAGAACTACTAAAGAAGTTTTAGAAAATTCAGAGTTCCCAACAAGTAGAAAAGCAAACGCAAGAAGGTGGGCATCAAACTTTCTTGAAGTAAGTAGCCAATCAAACTTTCTTGAAGTAATACTTATAGAGATTGTTAAGTAAGCATATGCATGTTTAGGAATCTACAAGATAATTTGTATGAGAATGCTTTGTATGTTATGAAACATTACTAAAATATTACTAAAATGTCCCTAGTGTGAGATTTTGAGATGCATGTTGTTTTTAATGTTTTTTTGCTGCCTAGAAAGAAGAATGGAACGTTGTGATTTATGCTTCAAGTGATTGATGAGCGTTATCTTCCCGTTGAGCTTTAATGAATGTTTAGATTAAGTATTCCATGCTTTAGGTGATTGATAAGATTATCTCCCTAACAAAGCATGTGTGGTGTTCCAAGTTAAGATTAGGTTGTTAGAGCTAGGGTGGTTCCACGTGGATTTAGGTCAATACATTTCTTGTAGACCAAGCACCCCTGAATTGTGAGCAGCATTTAACGGTCAAGAGACCACATTGCTCCCATAAATTAGATATAGCCTCAATGAGCTACTTGAGTTTCTTAGAAATGTGAGTTTGAGATTTAAACTGCTTAAACGCCCCAATAACCTAATAAACCTCCCCAACATCTAGTGGTATGAAGTCAAGATCGCTTCCTACTTCCTCTAATACCTCATAAGACTCATTGGTGGGTCGTACCAAGCAGAACCCTTGCCAAGTGGTAGGTAATCAGGAACTCGTATTGTCGAACCTGATGAAGATTAGTTAGATAGGATAGAGTGAGTATGCTACTTAAGTTACTATAGAGTGTAGAAACGAGTTAAAGATCGAGGTCACAATTCTGTAAACTAATCTTGAGACAAAACTAGGGACTACATGGATAGCTAGCTCCAGATGAGTGTCGTTAGTGAGTGTGGAAACGACCTTAAACCTCCTAAATAGGGTCCTATTATCGTAAATATGTAGAATAAAGATGAGAAACGAAACAACTAGACTTAGTTGTTGGTCAACACATGAGGTCGCTCCCCCAGATTCAATCTGACTTTATGGTCCTGTGTTAAGGAATGCTAGCTAAACTTACACAGATGATATTCAGACAAAATGATGTCGTAATACTCAAAATAGATATGATGAGGTCGGGCCTCAACCCACGGTATCGGTCATTCATTGGTATGACAATGCAAGTGTCCTAAGGTTTAGAGATGAGATATGTTGTCCAATAGGTTTAGGACGCTAAAATCTAATGAACAACTTCTAATTCCTAATGATTGGATTTGTGACAAGTAAGAGAATCGTTCAAAATTTCAATGCCTTCCTAGAAGCTTAGCTAGCTATAGAAGTAGCCCAAACTTAATAGAGCATACAGAAAAGTCCATGATAGCTTACTAGAAATTGGATACGATAAGAGCCTACAAGTAAACTCCTTACTAAGTATTTTCATACGTACTCTATTCTACATTTCTTGTTCAGGTGTTTGCTGACTATATATCGAGGTGGGAGAGCATTCCGGAACTGCGCAATCACTAAGAGTGTTGTCCTAGGGCGATAGTCTTATTTGTGTATTTTGGGTATTTCATGTTTTGTTTGAAATTGTACCTGAACAATACTAACTTGTATTATATTTTAATTAGTTTTTTAATCGTGGTGTTTGTTTGCTTTTGCTTTAGTCCTTCGTTTTTTTATTCATCAGAACCCAATATTCGAAGCCTTAAAAATCATGTAATGACAAGATTAGATTTCCAACTCTTTCAAAGTGGTATCTCATTAATGACTGAAGTATCTCGAAAGTAGGCCTTCTTCACCCTCCATCTAAGCAGAAACACCCAAATATCTAACTTAACCAAAACTAAATTTGAAACCTCACCTAATAAGTTAAAAACTTTTAACTTTAGTGGCAAGTAGCCATACCACATTTACTAATCAGCCCGAACAAAACACATCAATCAGAGGAATTAATAAGGTAGGCATAATTGATTGTGAGTTGGCTTTCCTTGTTCATCAATTAATACTCATTTCATCAAGCTCACTAATACCCATTTCTTAATTATATGCTTAACTAAGATATAAACATAATTAAACGAACAAACTATGAGCCTTTGTTAACTATTTTCTTCCCACTTTGATAAACATTTTTTTAATTTGGATCATCCAATCCACATAAGTTGGCACAAGAATTTCAATCATAGTTTTTCTTTAAGCATAAATAAAGATAGAAGCAATAATCAAATCGTAGCATTGAATACTCATATTATTATTTGTTTGATATAACATGTTAGACCTTCTTTCATCAATGTTACCACCTTTTATTCCCAACAAAAATAAACTAATAAATTAATGCCACATGATGCATGGAATAAAACTTATAATATTACTCTCCAAGAATCTTTTTTAGAAGAGCATATTGGCAATGAGTGGGGCAGCCAAAGGTTTGAGATATCCAAACGAGCAAGCACCCAAAACAGCCTAAGATTAATAATAATCCATTTTCATGTGCTATCCATGAAAGCTTTGATATGGCAGCCAATGAAACCACTGCCCATGATGAGTTGTTTTGTTTCAACTTTTTCCACATCTCTTGGTTGTCTCGCTTTTTTCTTTTATGTCTTATGATTCAACTTTTTATACATTATTCGAGCTCTTCTTTTCATCGCTTTCTCAATTTTTTTTTCCTCTCTCGTATGTCTCGTATCTGTAAGAGCTCATTAGTTCATAAGCGTTAGATGAGATCTCACATCGGTTGGAGAGGAGAAAGAAACATTCCTTATAAGGGTGTGGAAATCTCTATCTAGTAAACGCGTTTTAAAACTGTAAGGTTGACGGCCATACATAACAGGCTAAAACGGACAATATCTACTAGGGTGTGAATATTGTCCCTAGAAGACGCGTTTTAAAACCGTAAGGCTGGCAGCGATACGTGACGGACTAAAGCGGACAATTATCTACTAGGGTGTGAATATTGTCCCTAGAAGACGCGTTTTAAAACCGTAAGGCTGACAGCAATACGTGACGGGCTAAAGCGGACAATATCTACTAGGGTATGGATATTGTCCCTAGAAGATGCATTTTAAAATCATAAGACTGATAGCAATACATAATGGGTTAAAGCGGACAATATCTACTAGTGGTGGCCTCGAGTTGTTACACATTATTTGTTAAAACACATTGTACGATCTTTATGGCCGTGTCAAAAGGATCTCATTGAATTTTCCATCATAAAGTGTACATTGCAAGTTGCCACTACATCAATATACTAGTATCACGTGTATAACGATGCAAATTAATAAGAACGGTTTTGTTTTATGAACTCTTGGCATTGAGACGTAAAGACTTTCAAGTTTAGAGTTAAAGCTCGCACGGCCTTGAACTGTTACACATTATTCAGTAAAACACAATGTATAATCTTTATGGCCGTGTCAAAAGGATCTCATTGAATAATTTTTCCATCATAAAGTGTACATTGCAAGTTGCTGCTACATCAATAAACTAGTATCACATGTATAACGATGCAAATGAACCTGAAGAACTCTTTTGTTTTAGGAGCTCTTGTCATTAAGACGTAAAGAATTTCGAGTTTAGGGTTTAAGCTAGCACAATTTTGAACTTATATTCATGGATCAAAGAACACTCAAGATGGTCAAAAGCACGAGCAAACTTATTTATTTAAATAAAAAATTTGAAAGGACAAAATGATGCTCCGACAAGTCCTTGATTTACTTTATCTAGCTCATGGTTATTACTTATGGTGAGAATACATAGTACGAGAATAGTGATATATCTATATCTATATATATATATATATATATATGTATATAAAATAAGGATGGAAATTTATTAGTGGCTAAAGATTATATCCATAAAAACAAATCTTTTCTTTGTCATATTCTGCCCACAATTGTTTTTAACATAAAATATAAATGGATTATATATGACTTAGAATAACAAGTATATTAATTACTTGGTTAAAATATTGTTCATAATGATTTGACTCTCTTTCTTTTTTTTTTTTTGTATTTTTTAATTCAAAACCCACCATAAATTTATTAATTTACAATACAAATTTGTCTTATTCTTTCCAAAAAAAAAAAAAAAATTAAGAAATTGATTCTTGCTCGTGAATTTGAGACTCTAATTCATGGCTATATAGTAACAATTTGAACAAAATTGTTAGGGATTTCACTCGAGAGTGTGGGCAAGAGCTGATTTGGGGAGAAGAAGACTCGAGATCAAGAACGAGAGAATGAATTTTGCGTAAGAACCGAGAGCTTTATGCGTTAAGGTTCTTGAGAAAGAAACAAGATGTGAACGACTATGGGAGGATATCTCATTCGAGGTCTATAAGGTGTCGTATGGGAGAAACCAAATTGTTCTTAACAAAATTGACCTTGTATAGTGTAGGAAGAGATGGTCTTCTTACCAAAGTTGACATATAAAAGGATCATGGTCAAGTAATAACCTAAAACTGGTAACACGATTGATACGACCTACTTTGTAGTTATTACAGATGATTTGATCTAAATTGTTCAGACAAAGACACATTTGTGGGGTGACCTATACGATGAACTTGTATAAGATTGAATTACGAAATATTGAACCTCTTTTTATAAATCTGCTAATTAAAAAGATTAATATTCCACAAGATGACCATATGCAACTCGATCTTGATCTTAAGTGAGTTATGAAATCTTACGTGTGAGGGTCTGTCCCTTGATTTGTATGGGCGAGAATAACTTTTATAGTCGATTAAATGTCTCTACAATTTTAGAGACCTGACAGAATAGGGAGTTGAGAACATAATCTTATAAGATAGAGTTTACTCCTTTTTCATATAAGAAAAGTAGATGGGTAGTTACCGTATGTTGTTGATTTTAGAACTTGAACAATGGGCCATCACCCTCTCATTGCCTCTAGAAGACATTAAGTAGGATTGGATCATAAATAAATTGTTCATTAAAGAATTATTGATACTTACGGTGAAAGATGTAATTATAGGAGGTAAGTCAGACTTATGACCAAGCTATAATTAGAAACAACTCGAGAAGGATCAACTTTCTTGTAGAAATAAAAATAACACCTCCAATCAATGTTTAGAAATAAAACGCTCATGTCCTACTCTAACTTAAAGTCTACACCTTAAATGCATAAAAATTAGTTATCTGATCTAGGTTTCATGGTCGTCTCAATTGACATTGTCATTCGTGGGATGCTTGCCTTTATTTAAAAACATGTTAAACATGATTTGAGTAATTAAAAATATCGAAGAAATGACTTTATTCTTGGGGTCCAAAAATACAATCCTATACAACATGTTTACCGGTGTGACCTACTTTTGAGGGCTCTTCTTTCTATATTGGGAAGAGTTAGAGGTATAATACTTTCTTATACATGGTTCATGTACTCACTAGGTGGGCTCATGTCACCACCTGAATTTCGAAACTTTGAAATTCGCATCTAGACTAAAAAGACAAAAATAAATATAAATAAAAGTAAGATAAAATTAAAATTGAAATGAAGTTAACAACACCAAATTTAAATACAAAATAAAATCGAATTATAAAACCATGTGCAAAATGTTACGAACCTGGTTTGAGACACAGTTATAAAACAAAATCGGAAAGACTCCAAAACATAAAAATGGAATCACACTCTAGAATAACTCCCTTTGTGACTACACAACTCTCGAATGCTCCTTCACCTCAATTAACAGTTTGGGTGAGTATATAAACAGCTTGGGTGAGTATATAAACATACCCAATAAGTAACCATGACCTAGCAGGTGACCAGAGACATTACTCTAGGCTCTAGGTGGATTGCTCTTGTTGTGCACAGTCTTAGGTAGCTAGTTTAGCCCATGCAACGGCAACCGTTATTTAAAGATGAGGTACTATCTCTACAGACTCCTTACCCGGTGGAGACAATATGGTGAGTGCTAGCATGCTCGTCATCCATGAGAGGTGAATTAGAGAACCCATCTGACAGGCTATGAAATAGTCCGATTTTAAGGGTATCTTTTATAAAAAGTATTTTTTTTAGACAAATTATAAAGTTTTGAGGGCCATGTCGTCCTCTATGTGTTTTAACTTGGAAGCCTAGAATATGTTGTCAAATCAAAAGACCATTGGTTGCAAGACGATGCTTCAATGACTGCACATTTAAACTCATCTCCAACGCGTTTTATGTTTCTTGATACTCATGAGTTGTGAAAGCTTAAGATTCCCTCGACATTAATTACCAATAATTTAAACTCTTGAGCATTTCTTAAAGGTTTGATTGATTCTTGATTGTTATTTTTAAATTATTTTGTTATAATCTTTTATCCAATTTGAAGCAAAAGATTATTGTCTTTCCTTGGAAGCTTCAATATCTTATTTTACTTTGTGTGTTCTTATTCTAAATGTTCTGGGAGATATGTTCGATTAAAAACATATAACCCGAGTGGAAAGAATTGACAACTAGTCGCATCTCCTATAATATGTCTTGTGGCATTTTAGCCCTAACGGATGTAGAAGTGACTTTGGTGACAGGTCATACACCATAAAATAATAAAGACATAATTAATATGAAAGCATGCAAAATAGGTTTGGAACGGACATGCAATCGTGGACAACATGTCATGGACAAGCATAACCGTGACGAGAATGTTATTATACACAAATAAAATTTCTATGTTCATATTAATGAACTAATGTTTTAAAAATGGGGAATTCTATGCATCTGTGCTCATAAGAGTTATGAAATATTAAATAAAATATCTTTTTTAAAATAGATTTTATTTTAATGTATTTTTATTGCATAAAAGTGATGCACGTTTAAATGCTCTATGTGCATGAAAATGATATGGTAGAGTTAGTGATAAGGAAATCAACCCAAGAGAAAGCTTTAATACCAAAATGATAAGGAAATCAGCCGAAGAGAAAGTTCTGATACCAAATGATATGGAAATTACTACATAGGGAGTAAGATTCGGATTACCTTATTGATTGAATATCTCAAACCAATAACACTTGTTTAAGATTCGAATCACTTCACAAGCAAGGTCGATCATGTCTAGCTTGAATGATTCTTGTTGATCAAATATCTCAAGACAAGAACACTTGTTTGAGATTCGAATCACTCTATAAGCAAGATTGATCATGTCGTGCTTGAATGATTCTACATGCAATCTAAACTAAGTAGAATTGCAAAGAAACTTAGTCATTACCTAAAGGAAAGCACAAATGCTTCTGGATGAAATTAAATTAAAAAAAAAAATACCACAAGATAAATCATTGAAAGTCAATAAGTTAGTGCTGTTCTAATTTACCCATAAATGTGAAATACCTAAGATAAAAATTCAACCAAAACATAAAAGACTCAAAATACATAGATATGAGTGAAACTCAGGACAACCTCTTTATAATTGTGCAGCTTCTGAATGCTCTCCATCTCTATTGGCGGAGTGAGTATAAAAATACTCAATAAGCAGCTTACATGTAGACTCTCATTGTATCTAATCTCCAGTAGGTTACAACTAATTTTTCTCAGTTCATTTCAGGCTATAATTCTAGGCTATAATTCTACAACTACCTAAGCTTTTGGAAGACCTCAAGATTTCGAGCAGTTCTCTTGCTTCTCGCAAACCTACTGTGAATGTTTATTACTAAATATCCTTAACACCTACTATGAGTTTGCTATGGATCTGGACATCGTATCTCATCTCTAAAGTGGACTAACTTGTATGTTCTTTAGACTTAGGCTCGAAGTCTAGATTTGACCCAAGCAAGCTCGTGCCTCGTGCATCCACAACTTAATCATCACTGGACTTGACTAGACCTATTGGTGCGATAAAATGGCTTATAATAAGACACATGGTATATCATATGGATTCATCACCTTCAATCTTTAAATCTTCGTTTAGAGATGCTTTTTATTTTGTAATTTGCTTAAAATTGATGATATCCCACGTTTTTTATTTACTTAAA